GTCCTAGACTGTTCTGAATAATTGAAATTCATGTCTAGTTTCAATAATATTTCAAGGCTGCAATTTGCAGTTCCAGTGGTTAGTCCTGAGCACTTATTTGTGAAATAACAATCACCAGTACTACCCACAATTAGAATGATTGTGTTCATAATTACTGACATTCCTGACTGAGCAAATCTGTGCTGAAATAATACTTCACAAATTTAGAAAAAAAATCAATGTGACTATTAGACTTTTTTTGAAGGTATGCTCACCTAAGAATGAAAATTCTGTCACTTTTATGTCGTTCCAAACCTTGTATGACTTTCTTTCTTCTAAAGAACACAAAAGAAGATATTCCGAACAATGTTTTAACAGTTTTAATCCATTTAATGGAAGTCAATGAGGTGCAAAACAACATTGGACACCGCTTTCATTACATGGACAAAAGACATTTCACAAAATATCTTCTTTTTTTTTTTTTTCCAAAGATGAAAGAATTGCACAGGTTTGAAATCACATAAAGGTTTCAAGAGTATTTTAAACTGTATATTTTTTGTAACATTCTAAATATCCAATGGTGCGATTTTATTCTCATCTGAATTGGTCTGCACCTTCTCCCTCGTCTCATGTCCACTAACAAAATATGACAAATCTTCAACCTGTCATACATTTCCTATCTATAGTTTGCAGTATTATAATACAGACTCAAGGTAATTTCATCCACCCACTTCCATTCAGGCTCACACAATTAACGGCCGGCTCTGATGAAAGAAAAATCTTTAAGGAGCGATTATAGCGATGGAACTTTATATTGGTTTTTAAAATCCAATTAACTTTTGAAAGCATGTGACTTTTCGACAAATGATGTGTCGCCGCAGTATTGTTGAGAAACACTGGGCGCAGTGATAATTGGCAGCTGTATACAAAAAGCCCCTGACAGCTTCAGAAACGTCTCTGTGAGCAATCAAGTGCCCGGCGAAGAGAAACCTGAGCTAGCAATCTAGCCTCTTTTTGTGTCACTCCTAAAGACTTGTGGATTTATCACTGACAGCAATCATTTGTTTTCCTGATTATTCAAATACCAGTATTTATGTTCTTGAATTGATGCCTGGAATGGCTCTGCGTTTCGGCATTCAAGAGCCTTGAGCGCTGCCGTGCATTTTATGCTGTAGACCAGAGAAGTTTTCATAATTATCTATCACATATCAACGCTATAGAAATACTGCACTACAACAACTTAGTTAGTTTAACTTAAATAGTTTCAAATAACTTAATATTTTAATAGTCCCTTGTGAAAAAGAAGCGTTTAATTGTATTGCATGTGAACTTGCAGTGCACTTCAAATCTTAAAAAATGTATTTTTAAAAACTATACTTTCAGATAATATAATATTAACAAAATAAAATAACAATTAAGTACACTTAAAGAGTGTACGCTTTCATGACACTCTTTAAGTTTCTTAACACACTTAACTACACTTATAAAGTGCAATTTATGTCAAATATTTTTTTTTTATGTATGTAAAATACTAACTATAATTTTAACTGTAGTGATTTGATATTGTGTGCAAAGTTAATGTAATTGTAACTTCATCATTGCAAACATGTAATTACAAATATAAATAAAATAAAAGTTTTAATAAAAATGGCATTATATTTTAGTTTACCATAAATGCCTGTCAGTACATTCAACCTAACACTTTAACCATATTTTTTAATGAATATTATAAATATACTACTGTTCTTTGTTAATTTATGTTTATTCATAATACTTGATCCAACGTTACAACTTAAAAATATGTAAGTAAAGGCTATAGAAATTAACTTAATCATCAACTTAATCAATAATGAAAAGTGTTATTCCTGTATGGTACTGGCACAAACAGTAGAAGGAGATAATTACAAATAAAAATATATATATATATCTTAACTGCACTTATCTGCAGGTCACTTTGGATAAAAGCATAAAATGTAAAGTCAGCGTACAACTGTATAATTATCCTTAAATGATGACTATAATTTTAACTGTAGTGATTTGATATTGTGTGCAAAGTTAATGTAATTGTAACTTCATCATTGCAAACATGTAATTACAAATATATATGTAAATAAAATAAAAGTTTTAATAAAAATGGCATTATATTTTAGTTTACCATAAATGCCTGTCAGTACATTCAACCTAACACTTTAACCATATTTTTTAATGAATATTATAAATATACTACTGTTCTTTGTTAATTTATGTTTATTCATAATACTTGATCCAACGTTACAACTTAAAAATATGTAAGTAAAGGCTATAGAAATTAACTTAATCATCAACTTAATCAATAATGAAAAGTGTTATTCCTGTATGGTACTGGCACAAACAGTAGAAGGAGATAATTACAAATAAAAATATATATATATATCTTAACTGCACTTATCTGCAGGTCACTTTGGATAAAAGCATAAAATGTAAAGTCAGCGTACAACTGTATAATTATCCTTAAATGATTGTTCCAAAGCTCTCTCTTCCAGTAAGCCAGTCGAAATGGAAAAGCTTAAGTGAATCATCGCTGCACATTGTTTCCGGAATGCATTAGTTATGAATGCCAGTTCCTGCGCAGATCTGCCTTCTGTGTAAGACAAAAGATAATATCGCTTACTAAAAACTGATTATGTGTGACCTAGTTAGAAGGTGTAATAAAGGATGTGATTCAGAAACAAGAAAATATGAATTCCCCCCCGTCAGCTTGACATCAATTTCAGCACAATTAATTCTGCAACCAAACGTAATTGAGGTTTGTCAAATGTAACCCAGCAAATAAGCAAAACACGCTAGAAAAAAAAAGAAGACAAAAAGAAAAGTCTGGTGACCTTAATGAACAACACAGCTCAATCTCTTCTCTTCGACTGCCTCTTTCAGTGTACTACTTTTTGATACTTTTGCAATTTGCTTTTACTGACCTGGAATAAAAAAAACTGAAAAATACTGACATTAATGTGATTTCCACTACACAGTGAAAAATAATAGGTGAAGAAATAATTTGCACTCCGAAATTGCTAGTAAATTGCTAGTACACGCTGAAATAAATGTGAAATTTTGAAGTTAAATTTTGAACAACATACTCCAATAATGTTTCTTTTATTTACAATTTTTACAAATATTTTTATAGTGTATAAATATATATATGATAATGGGAAATACAGTGTAATTGTGTAATAAACCGCCAATTCACTGCTTATTACAATGTAATGACATAGTTGTTAACCACACTGATTTAAAGCGTTCATTTTGGATTGAAGAAAATCGGCTTTTTGGCTTGCAGCAGTGATGTGAGCACTGAATCAATGTTTCAAACCACCGTCATAATGGAGGGGAAACAGGCATGTGTGTTGGGAATATGGCAGGAACAGAAGCCAGCCCAGGACTGCATTAGCATACTCCCAAACAGGCTGTTAGCTGAAGAGGGTTTTAATTAGCAATTTTCCCGCTAGCAAATGAGGAAATTATCGACTGAGCAAAACAAGCCAGAGACAACTGGCCTGCCACCAATAAACACATGGGCTGGTACACACACAGACACACACACATGCACTTAACACACACGGCGAGTGCATGCGGCAGGCCTGCACATGCACATTAATGCCTCATACACACATACAATCATAATAAATTGCTCAGATGATGAGTGAAAATCTATCATTACATTTTTTAAAGTCTGTCTCTTCCTCCCTCTATAAACTTTATATTAAAGTGTGGCACTAATGCTCTCTCCAAGTGTTTAATGGCTACTTTAGAAGCACAGATCTCCCCATAAACATAAACAGGCACAGCAACATTTAAAATGTGTTTATTTACACTGACACAGTTCCTTATTGTAGCAAGACTTATCAAAGGCTTATTTAGGTTATAATTGCATTCTCGTAATGCTTGCTTACTTCAGTAGTGGCATTAATATTTAAATGAAAAGGTTTGCCCTACGGTCTGCTGAGGAAGTGAAATCTCTTCTCTTTACTCTGGAGACTGGAAGGATCTCAGAGCTCCTGAATCTCAACTGGTGCGCCATCAGAATTTAGCGTGAATTTACTGTATATTGCTGGCAACTAGTTGAGTACAACTAAACACAATTGTATCAATCATACAATCATATTCTGTAGCACCTCGTGAAAAAGATGTGTGCTTAATTGTATCGAAAAAAGAATAAAAGAATAGTAATATATATATATATATATATATATATTTAAATTAATATGTTTTAATTAATTGCAATTAACATGCATGTCTGAAGACATTACAATTAGTTTGCACTAAAGTATATTCTTTTAAAGTATATTATTTCTGTAATTACTGTAAGTATGGTAAAGTGTTTATATATATATATATATAAAATTAAATATTAATAATGTTTATAATTGAAATTAAATAATGTTCAAAATCCCAGCCAATGGAAACACTTCAAATGAAACACAACTTGGACTGTTACATTTAGACTGTTATCCCACAATGTAGGATTTTTCATGTGTTTTTGAGTACCATTATTTTGTTGTGTTATGGGAGAAAATTGACTATCCTGCATTGATTTCATTGTAAATTTCTAAAAAGAAAATCGTAAATTTAGTATGAAAAATGGCAGTTTTTTACAGTGGATTCTAATGACAAGAAACATAAAAATAGGCCAAAATAACAATGACTGGAACTTGCAGTAACTTTATTAGCTAAAACATATTAGAGTTAAAAAATGTTTTCTGTAAATCTTCCAGACCCCTAATTACTGACACATATAGCCGGGCTGTAACTTTCTGACACTTGTATATTTCAGAAGACCCAGAAATATCCAAAAGGAAAACATGCCACTTCATTCCAATGAGACCTCGTCATGTTTAATATTTCACAACCTTTCTTTTCCCCTCCACCGATCCTGAAAATCTTTGTCTTGTTTCTGTCTCGCTGTGTCTTTAGGGAGGCCTTTTCTGGCAAGGTTTCAAGGAGGATGAGAGGAGAGAGGAAGACAGAGAGAGATGCACAAGTTCCATCAGTAATTGGAGACTGGGCTGGAACTGCAAGTACCAAGAACACAGGCAAGGCCTTCACTCCTCCGTGTATCCCATCAGCACTGACCTACAAACTGCCAGGCTTTCCCTCCCTGGACGCCAGCCAGAGTTCACCTGCTTCACTTCATTCCCACCCCCCCTTCCGTGCTCGGGGATCTGTGACTTATCAGAGGGGGTTTAAGAAAGGCAGAGGAATGCAGTGGCACCCGCTTCATCCAAAGAATCCACGGAAAGGCGAGGGAGTAGAAAGAGAGATATGAAAAAGAAGAGGTTAGGGATTCCATGATTCCAGTTCTATTTCCATTCAAAGGGCATTAAAGTGCACGAGACGTAAATTTAAATTGTATTTATTTACAGACGTACAGTATATTATGTCACACTTCACACTTCTCTAGTAAGTTTCGTCTGTTTGTGAAGACGCTGCAGGCTGTGGCATAGCGCAAATCCATGAATGAATGTTTCGGAGTGAAGTAAACTTCAACGGATTTCCTGTGTTCAGGGAGCAGTGAACACTGTGCAGGGATCCTGTCAATCGGAACATAGTTCATGCATGGAGTTGTCTTCTAATGAGCTGTTATCTGAATCAGGTGTGTTGAATAAGAGAGACATGCTAAATGTGCAGAGCAGAGAGTTTTATGTTGCTTTTTTGTCCTTTTTCTGAGCTTTGAAGTAGGCCCCCACTGTCACTATATGGAAAAGATGGCTTGGATATTCTGCTTAATATCACATTTTGTGTTTGCCAGAATTAAAAAAAAAAAAAAAGTGAGTAGGGTGATTAAATGCTGACAAACCCCCATGAGTTTTACTGTATAAAATAACAACTTTTAACTTTTTTCTCTTTAAGAACTTACTGTATGTAAATCATGGCAGAATTATTGAGTATTTTATTATTTTAATAATTATTGAGTCTTTTATTACTGAGTAAATCTAATGCCACGGTCACACTTGACTTTGAGCATGCAAGATTTCTTTGGATACTGCATCAATCATAATATTCAACATCTTATAATAACTCCACAATGTAAAAATATACAGTCTACTCCATTTTTCTGCAACACTACACACCTGCAGCTTTAAAGTTTGTTCTTTAAATTCCACTAAGAGGTCACAGCATGATATATAAATCTTCTATTGGTCACATGTCTTCATGGGATATGAATTCACTGCTCGGAGTTCACCAAACTTGATCTTTGGAACACTGCAAACTGTGAAACTTCTTCAAATGAATGGAAGTCAATGGAAGGAAAAATGAATGCCAGAATGTATCTAAAATGTGACCCTGGACCACAAAACCAAATCATAAGGGTCAATTTTTCGTTGATGTATGGTTTGTTATGATAGGGCAATATTTGGCCGAGATACAACTATTTGAAAATCTGTAATCTGAGAGTGCAAAAAAATCAAAATATTGAGAAAATCACCTTTAAAGTTGTCCAAATGAAGTTTTTAGCAATGCATATTACTAATCAAAAATTAAGTTTTAATATATTTACAGTAGGAAATTTACAAAAAAATCTTCATGGAACATGATATTTATTTAATATACTAATGATTTTTGGCATAAAAGAAAAATCAATCATTTTGACCCATACAATGTATTTTTGGCTATACAAATACCCCGGCGACTTAAGACTTAAGTTTTGTTGTCCAGGGTCACAAATTAGTCTCCAAATTAGATGTTTTGACTTCCAAATCAACTGCATTTATTTTAAAAGGAAAGTTTAAAGTAACATCTCTTTTTGATGTAATTGGTCTTATGTAGCACTGAATCACTTGTGATCAAAAAGCAACGTAGGTCGTAGGACAAGAAAAAGGTATTTGCTGTGGTCTTGTTGAACAGTCTGCTCTTAAGTTCTTTGGATAATTCAAACCGCAGAATATATACGTGCCCCCTCTTCTGCTTTCTGTCTCAGCATAGTTTTAATTTGCAGAGCCAGACAGGAGAGAGAAGGCCAGCAGAACAGTTTCCATTAGAGAGAAAAGAAGAAGAGAGATACAAAGAAAAGGAAGGGATGGAGGAAAGGAAACGAAAAGACGAGAAGAGAACTGCCGCTGTGCTTCCCCTGGTCAATTAGAGTTGCCAGAATGAGAGAGAGAGAGACTGGGAAGTGAGTGCTGGTGAGGTAGAGGCAGTGTATCAGCCCCATAACTATCTCCTGCATTTTAATTAGCTGAGTGAACAGTCCTCCACGGGATACTCCACATACCGACCCATCACCATGACAGCCACAGAACAGCGTTCCGGGTAGCCAGGCACGGCAGGAATATTTAGCTAACAAATTCAGTGCCAGGCTGAGTGTTTGACTCCATCTCAAGGCTGTGTTTTCCCTCCAGTTAATGGCTTATAGGACTAAAAAGAGACCCAGACTGTTTGAGAAGCCTCCAAAACCATCATTGCGCGGTGCCAATGTGGAAGTCGTTTAGTAACTAAATGGAAGACTCTTTCCTCTAATGACATTGCATGTACATGTTTATCATTTCAAAATGGTTAACACTTTTTAGTAGAATGAAACTATGTAATAAAAACTTGCATTTTTATTAGAAATGATACAACATTAATTTATATATAAATTAAATATGATTTTTTTTTAACTTAATGTATTGATAATTATTTATGAATTTATTTATTATTATATTAATATTTATTGCAATCTTTCAGCCTATATACACACATGCTACCATACAAAAAAAAATGCTGTTTTTGATAGTTCTAAATAGAGAAAAAGAAATCATATGCTCACTAAGGATGCATTTATTCAATCAAAAATACAATAAAAAACAGTAATATTTGAAATATTTTTTGAATTTAAAATAACTCTTTTCAATTTTAATATATTTCAAAATGCCATTGATTCCTTTGATTGCAAAGCTGAGTTTTCAACATCATTACTCCAGTCTTCAGTGTCACATGATCCTTCAGAAATCATTGTTAATCAGCCAAATCGGGCACAGTTACTAGTTGGATATCAGTTTACCACTAGTGCATTCATTAGCTTTTCTCTCCGTTAAGAAAATGTTCCATTTTCTTAACCTATTTACAGAAACAGTCCCAGTGGATCAGTGAAGCCAATTCCCTTTTGTTCTCTTCTTTTCTTCTCGTAGCAGGTGTGTCAGGTGGTGTCTGTCAGACAGCGTCCCACTGTTCTGTCCTGTCTTTCCCATTTCCGTGCTTTACAGCTTCCACATTAATCAGTGCTCTGTTTCTTCTCTTACCCGTTGTCATTTGTTCACGTCACTATCTCCTCCTTTGCCACAAATCACTGTTAATTGGGTTCTCCTGGTTTGTGCTCTTAGAGCAGAGCAGCGTATCTCCTCTCTGCAGAAACCTTTGAAGACTTCAAGCTGGAAATGGCTGCTGGTGGTAAAGGTGTAAATGCAGTTTTACATTTTTACTGCAGTCTGCACAGATAATTCAAGGAGCTCACCCAAAATTTAAATTATTATTTAATCTCCTAACATTGTTCCAAACCCACACTCTTAACTCTTTCCCC